TTGTTGTTTACGTATAGGATGAGGGAAACGTCCAGTAACATGGTGAGAGCTGGATAGATTGTACAATAGTCAAACTTATATAAAATATGACAAGAACAAGTTAAAAACAGATTAAAAATTATTTAAAAAATTAGAGCATTACATCGTGAAGCCACTTGATGATTGCACAAATTAGTGGTCATGGAATGATGAGTGACATGAAACCCTTTGACAGAAGGCCGAAAGGATGTCAATGTCAGTATTGAAAGATGGAACGAATTGTGGGCGTGTGCCAAAACGTTGCCAAATCACTTCAGATGATGAGATTTTCAGAATTTTATGTTAGAATTTGTTAAACCGACCAGAGGCAGTTGAATAAACTATATTATTATTAATGGGAATTTAAATTAACAATTATTAATAAATCGTGAGGAGAGAATTATTATATTTTGAGTGGAATGAAATTTACTGGTGGAATCGGCCAAAACACAGATTCTAATTATGGTTGTGAAGAGTTGAAATTTGGGGAGATATGTAAGTTCTCCAATTTTTCGCAGTTTAGCAAATATGAGTAAATGACACTCAGTTGTTTAACATCTGTCTTTTTGTTGATACAGTTGTTATTCATGAAAATGTGGGACATTTCCAGGAATAAACGTTTGGAAAGGTGTTTTTCTTTATCAAGAACTTTGATACTTGTGTAATTCATAGAGTGCCCTGTTGTGTTAACATGAGATGCTAGAGCGCATCTTTCAGGATGAAGCCTAGCATCACTTTTGTGTGATGTAATCCTTCCTTTAATTCAATTGCAACAACTGCAACCAAATATACATAGGTCAGACCTCCAGATCTCTTAAAGGAAGGATTACATCACACAAAAGTGATGCTAGGCTTCATCCTGAAAGATGCGCTCTAGCATCTCATGTTAACACAACAGGGCATTCTATGAATTACACAAGTATCAAAGTTCTTGATAAAGAAAAACACCTTTCCAAACGTTTATTCCTGGAAATGTCCCACATTTTCATGAATAACAACTGTATCAACAAAAAGACAGATGTTAAACAACTGAGTGTCATTTACTCATATTTGCTAAACTGCGAAAAATTGGAGAACTTACATATCTCCCCAAATTTCAACTCTTCACAACCATAATTAGAATCTGTGTTTTGGCCAATTCCACCAGTAAATTTCATTCCACTCAAAATATAATAATTCTCTCCTCACGATTTATTAATAATTGTTAATTTAAATTCCCATTAATAATAATATAGTTTATTCAACTGCCTCTGGTCGGTTTAACAAATTCTAACATAAAATTCTGAAAATCTCATCATCTGAAGTGATTTGGCAACGTTTTGGCACACGCCCACAATTCGTTCTATCTTTCAATACTGACATTGACATCCTTTCGGCCTTCTGTCAAAGGGTTTCATGTCACTCATCATTCCATGACCACTAATTTGTGCAATCATCAAGTGGCTTCACGATGTAATGCTCTAATTTTTTAAATAATTTTTAATCTGTTTTTAACTTGTTCTTGTCATATTTTATATAAGTTTGACTATTGTACAATCTATCCAGCTCTCACCATGTTACTGGACGTTTCCCTCATCCTATACGTAAACAACAATTAGCAACATCCTCACATACTACTGTAAGTTGAGTCAATTTAATTTCATTTTACACCTTTGTTGCTACTGTTATCATTGTAATTGCAGCTCCTGATGATGATGGCAAAGTCCATTGAAAGCTAGAGAGAATTAAAAAAAGTATAAAGAGTCCTCTTTGCTTAAATTTTGTCGAAGTACCCAACAAAAGGCGGAAGCTTTAATTTTTCACCTATATATATACAGGGTGACTTTGAAGTTGAGTCATTAATTTTCAGATAATGATTGTAGAAGGAATATAAACCAAAATATGTGTGTAAAAATAAAAAAAAAATAAAAAAAAATTTTTTACCTTGTTTTATAAAGTATCCTCCCGACAAGTATTTCAGTGCGGACCTGTATTTGATCGTGAGGTCCCCTGTGAGGTCTTAAGTCACCTGATTCACGAGCCCGTTGTACTACATTAACAAAGGCACGAGGGGTTGGTTGCACTCGTTGCACTCGATTGGGAAACCGATCCGCATAAACATGTGCCATTTTTTATTTCGTTTGAGCCACGCAACAGATACAACTATTCACTGACACTTACTGTATACAAATGAATGAAATAATTCGTTCCAAATTCTTTCGCTTTTTTGTTTCCGATGCGATGAACCGATACGACGGATTATATCCGTTGTCGCCAAACACGAGCACATTGAGACAGGGCGGTACTCAAACTTCCAAAGGGCTATAACTTTGTTACTTTAATTTGACCAGAAAAATGGTAAAGGAAAAAAACATTTCTTTTGATCAGATCTACTCACTGTTAAAATAAATGACTCAACTTCGAAGTCACCCTGTATATATAATATATACATATATATATATATGTGTATGTGTGCGACGACCCTTTGACCTTTCGCTTTCAGCTTTCATATGCGACGGATGTATCTCTGTCACTCTCTGTCTACACAACAGTATGTATAAATAGTAAGATTGTTAGTATTTCTTACAGTATTCGATACATTTATCAAAAAGTATCGGATACTTTTGACTTCGGAAAGTATCGGATCTTTGCTTCGGATAGATACTTTTTGCCCACCACTAGCACCCAGTCATGCAGATCACATACGAACACCGACACGCTTTTTAAAAACATTTTTCTATCGTCTTAAGGGCAAATGTCGCCCAGTGACGTAGAAAGTGAAAGTATCTGTCATATCTGATATCTATTTTCAATTATTCATCAATTAGCGGTATCATGAAACAGTCGATGTTAAAAAGCTTCTATCGTTAGCATCAACACTTTAAATTTGATATGGGGCACTAGCAACAAATTGAAATCCCCTAAAACGATAGACTCTCATGTTTAACTATTGTAATAAATCTGATCTGATTAGCAATGGGAAAATGGTGGTGATCAAAACACAAATTTACTGTATATCATCTGACAACAATATGTACCGATTCAAATCGGCCCGGACCCAGTCTGTTAGTGTCATCGATTGATAGGCGAGTCTATCGGAACAAAACGAATGAATTCATTAGACCGGATCCGACAATGGAACGAATCCAGGGAAACCAAATCGTGTAATGGGCACAGACAGCCTAACACTAGTTACAGGTCTTTCCGGAGTTTTCACCAATACAGATTAATGTTTAAATTTCTTTTGTTAAAGCCGTATTACTAGGTAACCTCTGTAATTCCAGCTATACTAAAATATAGTTCAGCTACTTGCTACCATTTTTTTGCAATCTGGAATGATGTATGGGCAACGAAACATGCCGTTTATCCGAAAAATCCATCCCACGTTCTGTGAAATGGTGAAATGGCATGAAACATGAACGCGTTGGAAATTATTGAGTCGTTTGGAAATGCCGAAAACAATAACCGGGATACAGCGGGGCGCTGAGCGTATGGACAAAGTGTACAGATTCAAGAGAAATAAGCTTACTCGCTGATGAGATAAATAAAGTCATTCCATTAAATCGACTGATGCCATCCGAGGGAAGTGAGAGGCGTAGGATCTTAACAGGGGTAGCAAACTCGACTACGCTATATGTTGCTCATCGGGCAACCTCAGACACTCCTGGCCTCACGCTGCCATTACGTTCCAGTCTACGTCGGAGTGTAAAAAGGTTAAACGTCGACGGAGCCGTTCTGCCTCACGACAACGCTCGGCCACAGGTTGCGATAAGAGCACAGACGCAACTGTACCAGTTTCATCGGGAATTACTGGACCATCCACCATATGGCCCTGACTTATCACCATCAAAGTTTCTCTGCCCAAAACTTGATTTAATGATCAGGGATCCAGGAGCTGGTGCCACGACTGGTCAAACATGTGAATGCTTACGGTTACTATGGTGAAAAATAAAAAAGCGTTCTCAGTTTAGTTTGTGATGTTTCTCTAACTCCATTACAAAGCAAGTCTCACGTTATTTGGTTGACTTTTAGGCTGTTAGATCGACGTAAAACATTTTTACTTGACATTTTTCCTGCTCGAGTCGTTGGCATCTACAGAACGTTAGTAAAAAGTTAATAGAATAATAATAAAATCATTCAGAAAACAGAAATCATTATAATTATATGTACAGAAGGTGATATTTCAAATTGCATTTAAATTGAGCCAGTGACATGTGTTTAAATTGGTCTGGCAGATAATTATACAGGGATACGAGTACTGCACTGAACGTGGAAAACCTGGTAAACAATGAGGTTTTATGTTGCGGCAAGCTAAATAAATATGGAAACCCCGTGATTCTGGAATTGTGAACTATCTTGCCGCGTATAAGCTTTTAGTATGAATATAAAGGTTTTACAGTCAATTTTGTTTTATGTACTGCAGTGAGTAATGAATATTTAAATAAATTATTGAAGTTCAACCATCGCATATCATTAGCGTGTCCTGTCACATCTGGTTAAATTATTCACCAGGCGCCGAAACATAGTTTTTTTGAAAAAACGTTACCATTAGGTATATCTTTGTTCGCATATAGGAGCCTTAAAACGGAAAAAATCAAATTCTAACGATTTTAGTAATGTGTTGTCGCAATCTCAACTTTTCATGAAACAATACGCTAAGGCTCCTCATAAATTCGATGAATCTCAACTTGAAATTGCTAATGTAGAACCGCACGTTTGATTGCAGAAGATCATTGGTATTTGTTAGGGTGCATAAAATAACTTGAGATTTAATGTAACTCCTGGAGGTCGTCTTGTAGTTTTAGGATTCCATTGTCTGGCCGAAGCAAAACCACGTATATCTTTAGATTTTATTGTTGATAGTACGACGTTTTGACCACCACTGTGGTTTCTTTCGAGTAGAATTGAGAAGTTCGTGACAATATATTTTGTTTTCTGTCTCCCAGGTGCAATTTCGTTTCTTTTTTCCTTTTCACATTCCTATTCCTTTAGGCAGCAGCGGTGGCCGCAGTAGTAGACTCTTCGGTCTCCTGATCAGTCGCCGTGCGCTGTGCGGGTTCGAGTCCCGTTCCAGGAGAAATTTTTCTCTTGGCTATGGATGTTGTGATTGTCCATATGTGGTAGATGGTCTCTGACTGTCGAACGCGGAGGTACCACCCGGCGGTTCTAGTAGGCGGAGCCGGAATGTGTGCATGTTGCATGCACACGTGTTCCCTCGCCAGAGTCCGTGTGGCGTCCCCCCCCTTTCCCATGTATCCCCCTATAGCCCCACTGTACCCAATGGGTGCTTAGGCCTTAGGCCTTCGTGGTAGTTGGAGTATAAAAAAAATATACAGTATGTCATTACATTGGTCTAAACGGTCCAGTATTTGTTAGACAAGCTATTCAGCTAGGGAATTCGCGGATCGGCTCTTCATTGGCTTGAGTCGTTCTCAGATCAAAGGCCGCACACCGTTAGGATAAAAACCGAGCCTAGCTCTACAGTTTCATCCCCAATTAAAATACTCTCAGGAGTACCTCGGGGAAGCACCTTAGGCCCTGCCTTATTTATCTTATACATCAATCACATATTTTTAAATCACTGTAACAAGAGAGCAACATTATTTGCAGATGATACGACGTTGACACTAAAGTCCAATAATATCTCAAATTTAAGCCACACAGCTACCGAAATCTGACACAAAATACTATCTTACCGTTCTGCTAACGGTCTTGCACTTAATAGTAGAAAAACGAATCTGGGTTCTATTCAATACGCATAAAAACGATCAGAGTATTTTAGTAAGATATGACGGTCAAAGCATAAAACAGACAACTTCCGTCAAGTTTCTTGATATTTATTTGACGAGAATTTATCATGGAAGGAGCATATTCACGCAATCTTAGGCTAACTATCAAAGCACTGTTATGTATTATGGCAGCTTCGCAATTATGTTGATGTGACATTGTTAAGAACATATTACTTTGCGTATTTACACCATGCTCTCAACTATGGAATAATCATATGTTGGGGCAACAGTTCTAGAGTGAAGGAGGTATTTGTTCCTCAAAAAAAATTATTAGAACCCTTGTATTTGAAAACAGACGTGCATCCTGTGTCGAGCTATTCAAAAAATTAGGAATAATGACTGTACATTCATTGTATGTCTATAACTATGCCTTCTATGTCAAAGAAAATTTTGAGAACTATAGCCTCCAAAGAGGATCTGCTGGTACCCAGCATTTAAGGCCTTCATTCCAACTAACCACTGTAGCTTACAGGTTGTCGCTGACTTCAAAAAGTCCCACGATTATGTTACCCAAGGTGTATAGCAAATAACCAGAATGTATAAAGAGTATCCAATCGGTAATACTTTTTAAGAGGAAGGTCACGGAATTTCTTGTATACAATCCTATATATTCATTAAATGATTACTTAAGTATTTGATACTTATTAGACTTTCATCTAGTGCTGTATCTTTAAAGGTGATTGTATTATTTTACTAGCTTGTGATATTTGACAATTTCAACACTCTATTGTGGAGTCTCATGGAAATAAAGATTATTATTATTATTATTATTATTGCATTTTTGAGATGTCACCAGCAAAGCAAAAGGGACGCTCAGCCCCCTAAGCGAAAAGCGAGTATGACGTTATCTGCTCTTTTTTAATGTACCAGACACGTCGCCCTCGTCCATCGTTCAGAAGACGCCAAAACGTGAAAACCCACCCAGAACTATTCTCGCAACACACCGATTAGTAGTTATGCAATATTTAACTCCAATTGCTGCATGTGCATTTCTTATGAATCTGGTTGATTGAGTTGTGAGGAAATAATATAAAACACAACAGTTTTCCCTTGATATGGAGAAATTAAACATCTGCGCGATTGACATCCAATAACAAATCGTAAGGAAAGACCTGAAAGTTCTAAAATCATGAATCATGAGTCGGTTTAGAGAGTATGATTTAGATATTTCCTTCAAAGATGCTCAACCAAATTGCAACACAGCTAACAGAAGAAATAGACAGACAATTGTTTTTTTAATTATATGTTCTCTGATTCATTTACCTTTCATCCCTTTAAAAAAATTCTGAAAATCTTGGTAATTTTGAGATGACGCCTCAACGCAAGTGCCCGACGCTAAGGCTTTTTACCTAACATGTGGTCTTACTTTTTGTAGTCTGTATACGTCAGTATGGATGGTAGCATATTCCGCCAGTGGTAGTCGGTTGGCTGCTATCTATTAATAGTAAATTGTATTTATCGCTCCCATTCTCTAAACAAACTGAAACATGAAAGGCAATTTAACGTTGCAAATGAAAAACGGAAAAAGTGTGCTTCCTCCCTTGAACTACGCTATACCGGGAACCTTTTGTTCTAGAACAACAGATAACTCCCTGTAATCGTGCTTGCGGAACATGAGCTAAACATGCAGTAGTTATTCTGCTTTACGTAGCTTTTCTTCGAGGTTGCATTTGCTACTGAAGCAGACTTTCAGCCTATAAAATGGCATTGGGCAGATTGCAGATTTGAATTTGTCGCAAAAGGACATAAGGATCATTGCTCCTGAGCTGCAAAAACACATCGTATCAATTGTACTTCCTTCGCCACTAGCGTGATCGCGAAAAATTTTGAAAATGGGATGTTACGTTTTTGGTGACATTTACGTCACGAAAAGCCATGTAACCCTTCCCTTTCGGTGTATCTGTCTGTCCGCCATTTATGGGAATCTTTTGAGGGATGAAAATAGGAAGCTTGTAGTGAGTCGGGGACGGTGTATACAGGGTGGCCCATCCATGTGTGGACGGAATTATTACTCGTAAACAAATACATTTTGGGAAAAGCTATCAACGGCAGGTTATACATGACATTTGAGGGCACATTTATAAAATATTGGCAATTATACAGGGTGTCCCAATTTTGACAGGCACACGATTATGATAATGCGCAGGTGCGCCGTCATGTTGGAAGTACCTGTGCATCCAAGTTTGCAGGTGGACATCCCCCAGAAGCAAAGGCAGATGCACTATCAAAAAATTCAGGTATTCTGTACCTGTTAATCTATTGTCGAAAAAGAAAGGCCAGATAACTTGTCTACCAAGAACTCTTCCCCAAACATTCAAGCTCCATTTATTTTGGAAATCGATTTGCCTAACCCAGTAAAAGTTTTCCGTCGCATAATAGTGAATGTTATGCCTGTTGACAACACCTGTGCTGTTAAAAGTTACCTCATCGCTAAAAAGAACCTTATCCAGGAAAGTAGTGTCTTCACTCACTTTATTTAGCATTGTTCTACTAAAATCCGTTCGAGCTGCGAAGCTGTCTAGTATAAAAAAAAAGTTAATAAAAAGTTGGATCCAAACTTGCGCAAATATTCATGAAGATACATTTGAAATATTTGAGAAAAACTACAATATGCGTTTTTGACCAGCCTGTATGAGCAAAAATTAAAAATCGTAAAAGTTACAAATAACATAAAAGCTGAGGTGTTTAAGTTTTTTTTGATATAAAATTCAGCACTCCAAATTTCAACATGGCGGACTGAGGGATTGCTGAAGTGGGGGGTTTTTCTAGACAAAACACCTTATATCTCAGTAGCTAATTACAAAAAAACCATTGTATGTTATATCAATTTTCTTCTTTTGGACTGGTTTATCCAAATATGCAATAAATTTTGAGGCATCCTATTTGAAAAATCACAACTTTGATATGTAGATCGAAATTGGGATACCCTGTATAATGGCCAATATTTTAGAAGTGTGCTCTCAAATGTCATGTATAACATCCCATTAACAGATTTTCCCAAAACGTATTTGTTCATGAGTAATATGCCGTCCACACATGGATGGGCCACCCTGTAGAAATTTCTTGGTGGCACCATTAATTCTACGCACTTCTGAAATTTATTCCACACTTAGATTCAACTTTATATTTGCCCCTGAAATTCAGAATAGTAGAAATATATTTTTAAGCTGTTATCGTCTCGCCGCTCCCGCTGCATCTCAAACAACACTCCACCCAATTATTTATTTAGCGAGTCAAATAAGTAAGCTACATTTTAGCGTGAAGATGACAGTTGAAAATTCCAAAATGGCGGAAAGTGTAATTTTACATTTCCTCTCCACTCACGAGTGTTTTAACATGAGATATTATGTTTTTTTGGATATTTAATGCCATCACCATTTTTAGTTTGTCTATAACTGGGCAAATACTGCTTGGATGTTAATAAAATTTTTGCACAAGGTCACTACTGTCTCAAAGACAAGAGGACGTTCAAGTTTTTTCAAATCTGTCCAGTGGCCGCAAAGCTAAGGAGAAAAAACAAAAGAAATAAAAAGTTGACCAACCTTCGTTTTTATCGACTCAGACCCCTGGTAATTGCCAGAAATAAAAATTTTGGGATCAATAATTGAAATTTGGAAGTTGTAGGTGGTAGAAAAGTGTATACATCAATTTTTGGCGTGAAAATTTCGAAAATCGTGCAAAATTCGAAAAATTACACAATTATGAAATTTTTGGATACCTGTCATGACTAACTACTGTTACAGTCTACTGTGAAGTGCGAATGTTGAATCCACCTTTAAACGTTCTCCAATGAAGCGTTAGGCCTATGTCAAACGACCAGTATTTACTGTGCTTCCTGTCATCGGTATTTATTGGTCATCCCGTGAGTGTCAGTCGATTTCTACGTGATTTTTTATATCAATGATTACCAACGTTCTGGCTAGACAGTCAATAAATATCACCTGCCATGCTAGAAACTGATGGATCACAATGTAATACTGATTATGTGACATTCGCCATACTGCCTGTTTAAAGGAGAGATCGTTCCTAAAATAGCACTCAAGGGACTATAAATGTGACCCAAGTCTTCCTAATTCCCTACTATTTTTTGTCGAGCTATAAATTGCCCAAGATATGCAAAGTATTTTTTGCGGAGACTCCAACTGGAAATCCTCCTTGAACCTTCAACAATGTAAACATGGGAAATTTAAACGTCAGGGATATCGAAATTGCGACGAACGCCTGACAAGATACGACAGGTACAAAGCGAACTGATCCGCCTACGTCTCTACCTTCCTTCCTCCTTTCAGTAAATATTTGATTACACTGCGGGGAAACCAGAAATTGCAGACTCCGCGGTTGAAAAAGTTATCTTCTGTTTTTCGGCAAATAGACGTAGTTTTGCGTGTTCCTAATATTAGCTTTTTGCTTGAACAGCTATAAAGGAACAATTCGAAACATGCATCTAATAAGGTTGTAACTAACATTTCGGCCATTTTCACTTTTTGAGCATCTTGAATAGATTGTGTTTTAAGGTCCTGTTGGAAAAATGAACACCTTGTTGGTATGAATACGAGAAAAGTGCGGTATATAATTGTAACTGCATACAATGGAAAAATGACTGTACTATCGTGGTAAAGATCTTGACTTTTTTAGTGAAGCTCAATCCAGATATGTATGAATCTGTCGCATCTCATCGATTACACATTACATGGTATCTGCCCTTACTATATTAATGCACACAAAAATATCACTCCCAACAGCCTGAGGTACTTTTCAATGATGTTTATAAAATATTGGGAGGAAGCAGGTGCAACGTTTTTGCATGGGAATACACGTATTGGTAGCATCAGCTAGTCTAATGGTCAAAATATCGCACAGTAGTTCACTGTTTATGTATTTTTTGTTTCATACGAGGGCGATTCAATAAGTACCCGTGTTAGAAATGAAGACACCATTTTTTCCAAAAAATTTCTTTTTTTTTTCAACAAATCCCCTTCTAGAAATATATACTTTTCTCAACGTTCCTGCCATTTTTCTAACCCCCTAAAAAATTGGATTTGTCGAACTCTCCAAAATACGCCTCTATCTCGGCGATGACTTAATCGGCTGAGCTAATTTTTTCCCCAGGAGCCATTTCTTCATGTCAATACTTCATAACGCAATTTATGCAGTTTGGTGGAGACTACTCCGGATGAATGTGCTGGTGCGTTATCGTGGTGAAACAGCACCTTCTTTTTCATCAAATGAGGCCGTATCTCCTTCAATTTTTTGTCGAGGCCGTCCAATAGCTCACTATAGTATTGTCCAGTGATTGTTTTCCCTTCTTCTAAAAAATCCACGAGGATGACGCCGTTCGTATCTCAAAAAATCATCGCGATGACCTTTCCGGTCGATGGGACCGTCTTAGCCTTCTTTGGAGCAGATTCACCGGGAGAAATCCATTGTTTTGATTGTTGCTTAATTTCTGGTGTCTAATAATGAATCCAGGTTTCATCGACGGTGACAACTCGACTCAAAAACTCCTTCGGATTTCGCTTAAATTGCTCGAAACGCTGCTTTGAAGTTAACAGCCGCATCCGCTTGTAGTCCACCGTGAGCAATCGCGGCACCCATCGGGCCGACAATTTTTTCATAGCCAACTTATCATGTAAAATATTGATTGCCATTCCGGTTGACACACCTATGGCCTCTGCTACTTCACGCACTTTCGTTCGTCGATCAGCAAGAATCATGTCGTGGACTTTTTGGATGATTTCCTCGGTAACCACGTCTGCTGGTCGTCCTGGTCGATCCTCATCAAAAACGGATGTTCGCCCACTTTCAGATTCATTGAACCAATATCTAACTGTGCTCATAGATGGCGAATTGCCCCCATAAACAGCACCCAACCTTGCTTTGATCTTCTCGCATTTTTTTTTCATCTAAAAACAAAAAGCGAATTACCGACCGATACTGCTATTTTTCCATCTTAGCGAAAATCACGAAACACGTGTTACTCGAATGGCTGCCAAATCCAAATTAACCTATCAATCAGTCTAAAATTTGTTGTGCCGTCGACTGATGGATGGCAGCACACGATAATAAAATTAACTTCCCTCAGGAACGCCCTCTGTCGTCAAACACGGGTACTTATTGAACCGCCCTCGTATATGTTAGTTTGTGCTAACGTATATGTTAAAATGATCCCTGGGTGCATTGAAAGAGTTGTACCTGTTTTTCTTTAATTGCGAGAATTTCATCATGTTCACGATAGTACTGTTACAATACAATGCTTGAAATGTCTGGTAAGTAACTTTAAAATATATTTGCAGGCAGATTGTATCCACAACAGTAATTGTATTTGCTGTTACGAATAGGAAAAGTTGCCCACGTTGCAAGCCAGAACATTGTATCGTATTTTACCTTGATGATAGAGCACAAAGGAAAATTTGCTCACATCTTAATTAGCTACCTGATTTTTGCTGTATTTCTCATACGCCTTTCTTCAAAAAAATGGAATATGATATTGAGAATCCTTTAGATAGGCATGTATTCTTAATGACACATCACCATATTAAATGTTAAAAAATTCGGCTGAAGTTGGTAGAAAACTGAAATGGCTCTCCTGAGGGGTTACATTGGTCACAATATTATAACATGCATGAATTATGTTGTTGCCATAAGGAAATTAATGTTCGATTTAAAACTCATGTTGTCTAAAACAGTCTACTGAATTTAAGCAAGGTACAACTCAAGGCTGATCTGTTACGAACGGTTCTCATCGAATGTAGCTATTAACCGTAACCCGACTCGGCATACGTATCCATATACTAGCATTCACACAAAATCGAAGGCAACACGATCGGTTTTCCCAGTGGTTGCTGGCACTGCTATCGCTAATCGATGACCCTTCTCTAACGGACAGCCTCGGGATCCATTCGCACCGACAGGCCGCGGCAATCTGGCTCTTTTCAACCGCTGTGGTAACGGGCTTTGCCTTCAAAGAGCCTACCAGACCGACCCGCCTGGCTTCGGTCTCCCATCCCGAACGTGTCGTACTTCGCCGATCGCTCCCCTCTCCCTAGGGTTTTGAGATTGTGGAATAATCTGCCTGAGGATTTCCCAGTTCTACTAACCTTATGCCGTTCAAAAATCGGATTGATAAAGGGTCTTGAAGCTTCTTATAGCAGCCGCAGTTGCCCGGTATTGAAGCTTCTGGCTAGACTGATGCTTCGATATTTACAAAATGACATGTACGCCACGACAAAACAAACGAACGTGAGTTTTCGATCGCACTAAATCGGTAGGCGGGATAGTACGGCCGTGTAAGGGAGTGAACGTTGCGTAAATACCATTCGAATAGGGTGTTTTGATTCTATCTGACCCATCTGGCAACTACGCAATGCAATAGTCGCAGTCAATAACCAAGGCGCGCATGCCCACTTGGGTACTGTGGTATCTAAAGAAGATCGCCACGTTTTGATAAATGAAATCCAGTCAGAACCATCAACCTGGAATTGTGCAGACCAAAACCACAAAAGCAATGATTACTTAACCTTTAGCCGCTAACGTGCGGTCTACAATACCCCATTGATATATTATGTGTTACAATTTGGCAACGCAGCACATCTGGATACTAGGAAGCTAGATACCTCTTGGAGAAAGAATGACGGAGCGTTTTAGTCCGTTGGCGATATAAGCTTGTGCGGCAGTGCTCTGTTATTGCCAAAACTATACCGTAGCGGTCTCAGCGACCTCACCTTAGCGAACGTGTACCGGAGACAAAAATTAACATCATGAGCAGTTTCCCTGATCGTATGCGTCCTAATGATCTAAGATTTGAAGATTGGGCGAGAAGTTTAATGGATCAAGATGACGAAGATATTAGATTCACTGAAAGTGATAATAAACTAGAAGATTCTGACATAACAGAGGAGATACATGAAGAAGATTCCGATGCAGACTACATACCAGACGAAAACGAAACTGAAAATTGGTTGGAGGAAAGAAATCAGATGGAAGGTTTTTCTGCTAAAAATGAGAGGTTTTATATTGGTAAAAATAAGTTTTAATTGTAAGAAAGTTCAGAATCTGTAACTACTAAAACATTTGTGGAGGTAATACTGAGTTGTGTGCTTTATCGTTGTTTTCTTTTCAGGCATAAAGACCAGCCTCCAGTCAATGTAAGGACTAGAAAACATAACATTGTACTCACTCTACTTGGACTACGACCAAAAGCTAAACAGCTTGGTGCTAATCCGGAGATTGAAGACATCTGGCTTCTTCTATTTTCTGAAGATATGGTAGCAGAAATAATTCAGTGGACAAATGTGAAGATCATTGATGCAAGAAAAAAGTATATAGACCAGGCAAGTCCGATATTATCCACCACCGATGAAATAGAAATGAAGGCTTTCTTAGGTATGCTAATATTTACCTCAGTTTTCAAATCAGGAAATGAGAGCATCGAGTCCTTGTTTGCCACAGATGGCACAGGAAGAAACGTTTTTCGATGTACCATGGCGAAGACGCTTTCAGTTCCTATTTACTGTTCTTAGATTTGACGATGCAACTCTACGAAATGAAAGACAAATTGAGGGCGATCCTGTGCCTCACATATCAAAAATATTCAATAAATTCATAGATAATTCCTAGAATGCCTTCTCTATTGGCACTAATGCTACCGTGGATGAAATGCTCGTAGCATTTAGGGGCCGTTGTAAATTTAAAATATTTATGCCGAAAAAACCGGCTCGTTATGGAATCAAAATAATGTGCCTGACAGATGCCCGAAATAATTACCTTTATAATGCCTATATTTATGCTGGAAAAGGATCAGACTCACTAACATTATCTGCAAATGAGAGAAAAATGAAAATCCCAACACACTCTGTAATCAGGCTACTGGGGCCAATTCAAAAAACCAATAGTAATGTTACAGCTGATAATTGGTTTAGCTCTGTGGAATTGGTTCAAGAACTCCAAAACAGGGGTCTAACCTATGTAGGTACGCTAAAAAAGAATGAAGCTGCAATTCCACCAATCTTTCAAGCTAACAAAAATCGAAAACTCAACAGCAGCCTCTACGGATACAATAATGATATGACTTTACTTTCTTTTGTACCAAAATTTTCAAAATCAGTTATTCTGATTTCATCTATGCATCATTATGAATCAACTGATTAAGAAACTGGTAAGCCAGACATAATAGCATATTACAATTCGACAAAAGGTGGCGTGGATAGTTTGGACAAAATGTCTGCAAACTATAGTCCAAGTCGTAGGACACAAAGATGGCCTATGGCAATATTTTTCATGATTGTTGACGTAAGTACAATAAATGCTTATGTTTTGTACTCAAGCTACAAAGATACTCCAAAACTGGAAAGGGCAGATTTTCCAAAAAAGTTAGCAAGAAGTCTGGTTTTGCCACAACGGAGAGTTAGAATGTCAAACTCTAAACTTCCCTTGAATTGCGACTGACAATTGAAAACTTATCTGGGAGCACTGACCATTCTGCTCATAGCAGTGAAGTCCCAGAAGATCGCTTGGAAAAAAGAGCAACATGTTACAGATGTCCACCAAAGTTGAAAAGGAAAACTCAATACGGATGTGCATCATGCAAGAAACCCATATGCTTGCAATGTTCCAAGATGTGCATTGAATGCGTGTTAGACAGGAAGCAACTTGGAAATTGCCAGAAAACCATTTTTGTGTTGTTTTTTATGTTTATGTTATCGCTTAGTCTAACTGAAACTTAATTACATTGTTTTTTGAGCATTTACAAATAAATATTTTTAATAAAAACGTTGTACCATTCACAAAAAATAACAAAAACCGGTAGCGGTATCTTAGACCGCACGTTAGCGGTTGTGTGCGACTGTCGCACGTTAGCGGTTAAAGGTTAAAGAAGCACTTGGCATATTGAATTAATTTAGTGAGCAAATGCTAGACTCCCTTATTCTTCTTCTTCTTGCTCTCGCTATTCGATAAAAATCTTCCATCATCCTCCTCATTTGACACAAATAGCGCATGACGTATACTGAACGACATCCTGATAAATACATTACCGATTTGCTCTCTGTTGGGTCCGTAACGCGTATCAGACACAGAAAACATCTTACACAGAAAATGTCAAAGTTGCCTGAGATTCACAAAAAGTAGTGCTCTGAACTAAGGGTACCCTCCAAGACACTCCAGCGTCGATGTTCATCAGATAAAAATACCAGTTTCTATTGCCAGTTGTACACTTGTTTTTTATAAGCGGCATTCGTTTTATCGACAAAAAAACTGCTGCGTGAAAATTGGACATATAGTTAATATGAACAACCTGATAAAAATACCAGTTTCTATTGCCAGTTAAACACTTGTTTTTTATAAGCGACATTCGTTTTATCGACAAAAAAACTGCTGCGTGAAAATTGGACATATAGTTAATATGAACAACCTGACAGACAAAAGAATTATTTTGTTGTGGAGCTGAAACGCGCAGTTATCATGATATTACCAGTATAAATAAAAGCGTTATCAAGATTTATATTATTCATGTCACAACTGTTTGTATAAATGCGACGTACCAGCTTATAATGCAATCAGCTTTTCGAGGAGCACGGAATAATCGATGAAAAAAATAGCGTCGAGTAGGTTGACACAACGCCATCATCAGTGCATAAAGGATTATGTTCAGCACAAGTTAAACTCTTTCGAAATAAGACAGCGTCATAGACTTTATATATAATAAAGAATAGATGGTATGATTTCGTTTGTTATCCAGAGATCAAGCCATCCTGATGTGTTGACTCAAAAGAACGAAACCGCTATCTGCGTTTGACTATATTTGGTTGCACGGTCTAAAGCAGCATGTTTAAGTTTCACTGCTTAAGAAAGGTGTAAGCTACGAACCTATACAACAGATAAAGTGGAATGAATAAAACCGTCTCTGCCCTGCATGTAGTACCGTCCATCTGGCAACATCGCGTCGCCTTTCCCCACTATCTGAAAGCATGATGTGTCAAACGGGGCTGAGCAACAGTCATCATCCAGTCATACAGGACAAATACGAACACCGGCACGCCGAACGTGGGCATTGAAGCCAGCAGATATACGGACGCGTGACGAAAACATTTTTTTATCGTTTTGAATTATTGCAGTTGGAAGTGTATCTATACATTAGCATCAAACAATTGGGATACACTCCCATCCCCCTACAACCTCTAATTTTTTTATCGGATAAATTTTCAAAAATGATCTGATACGTCAAAAACAGAGTTTAAGCGATTTTTAATCTTTTCGATTTTGAACTTTTTCTCCGCCGCCACTGAACCGACCTTAAAAAACTGAATAGTCCTTTCATCTTTGGAATAGTAATAACATAGCGTGAAAATTTCATCAAAATAAGACAAGTACTTTCCAAGTTGAGAGAAGGATTACATGACACAAAACAATATATGTAGTATATCTTATTTTCAGAATATACACTTTATAATTTTCAAACTAAAATTTATTAGATTCGAGTTATTAATAGTAACAAATACAATAAAAACAAGAAATCAGGTCCGATCAAAATAGCGCCAGATTTTATTTAGACACAATAATCATGTAGGCCAAAAAATTGGACTCATACTAAAGCAAAAGACAAACAATTTCAGCTTGGCTATATTTGTCTAGAAATAGACTGCGGTTCGTACGTGTGTCACGTTAGCGATGGTACGATTAAAAAATTTTCTTGTGAAGTAAAGTGTCGCTTTCCTGCTCTGTATCTGCTAAGCATTGAACAGGGCCGGCCCCAGGGCAGTGAAACAGTGGTCCCCAAAAATGATTTTATTACGCAATTACCAATAATCCTCTTCTTAAATTCACACGAAATTTCCCAATAGTTATTCGATCATAAACGGCGGAATTAATCAATAATAAATGCTATAATGAATCTAGAATATTGGAATAAAGGTTCCAGAAATATTGAACATGACAAATCCGCTTAAAAACTATCTATCATGTTGCACGTCCAGCATGCCACGTGTTCTCTCGCTAGAGTCCCTGCGAGTCCCTCCCGTATGTCGCTAGAGACCCCATGGTACCCGTGGGAGGTTAGGCCTTGGTGGTGGTTCAAGTATAAAAAAATCTTACAAGAATACAAGGGAGCTAGGAACTTCACGGTAACCGCGAACGGTGTCACAGGATCACGGCGTATGCGTGCTAGCTGTTAAGGTGGAAAATATATTCCACCGTAAGGTTATTGTAGCGACAAATATCTTTATTTTCATCAGACTCCAAAAGGAGTGTTGTATAATGTCAAAAATAGGCAATAACAAATGATTTGTAAAAATTACACATTCATTCGAGCATTGCCCTGAATAGAATAATCAGGAATATAAAACACTACGCAAAAGCTATCATAAAAAACGTGTCGCTGAGATATTCATCTGCAGTATAGAATGGGAAATTGATTAAAAACTTTTTCATTGTATTTTTGAAAATTGTTGTAGACCGAATTTCTTTAACATGATCGGGCAACTTGTAGATTAATCATCGTGATTTCCGGACCCTTGAGTGACATCGTTAGCTCCCGTGCTGAGATTCGTACCTGGTCATAAATTATACGTTGATACGGAATTTCTGTTCGTTTAGAAATTGATGACGATGACTTTTTACATATATGGGACATCTAAAGATGTATAGTGAGTATACATTTAATGATTTAAAAAGGGCTTTACACGAATCAAGCCTATTTTGGAAAAGCATTTTCCTGATGATTTATCTCTGAAGAACTAGAACCTCTTTAACACAACTGCTGTTATCCCAACAAATGAAGCAACAATTTAATTGAAATTGGACCTAGACAAAATAGCAGGTTTTTAAAATTTTCAAATTGACATAGTTAAGCAGCTGCAAGTGCTGCAATGTTTTGCGAGTCTACTAATCATTAGGTCAACATGCCTACTCCAGGTCTCGCGACTGTCTATGAAAATACCCAAGAACTTAGTGCAACCTTCCTCTTGCTCAATTATCTGTCCATCACATTTAGCTAGCGAGCTCGCTTCAGTTGTATTATCGCTAAGCATCAATAACTCTG